TCCCTCAGACCCTCCCTCCCTCCCTCCCTTCCTTCCTAAGAACAGAGTGGTAGGAAAATATTTGAGATAAGGGAGGGAGAAAAACAGGCAAGAAATGCAGCTGGGGAGGTGTCATCCTTCATGAGGAATGAAGAAATGCACCATCGCCTGGAAGTGGCCAGTACATGGCCCTCGCCTACTTCATATATCTGGCTTGGTGGGCTTTGGGGAAGGGGACACCATGAGCAACGTGAGAGTCGACGTTACCTGCGCAATGCCGTCCAGCCCCCAGCCTGCCTGGTTTCGGCAGGCAGCGGGATGCTCTCTTTACAGTGCCAAGAGGCTGAGCCAGGCAGTGCGAAGCTCGCCAGCTTTGCATCTTGCTGCCTGCTGAAATCGGGCAGGCTGGGGGCTGAGTGGCGGCGCACTTCTTTTTGGATTTGTGCTGCCTGGCTCAGCCTCTCGGCGCTGTGAGGACAGCGCCCCCCCCCCCGGAGCCCATCAAGCCAGATATGTGAAGTAGGCGAGGGCCATTTGCTGGCCACTTCCAGGTGATGGTGCATTTCTTCGTTCCTCAAAAAGGGTGACACCTCCCCAGCATGCGCCCAGGGGGCAGGGCCAATGCGGCAAGGGCCGGTCCCTTGCTGTTTCCAGACGGTCTTGTGGAGCTAAGACTGAATATGTTTCAGCATAGATGGCCAACACAAAATTGTACATTGGCTCCCGGGCGGCCTGGGCCGCGGCTAAGGCAGTGGGGGCCATTCCCTCACTGTTTCCAGGATGGCTTCGCGGGTCACAAGAAACCACATTATGGGCCGCATCCGGCCCCCGGGCCTTGTGTTTGACATGTCTGCCTTGTAGTGTCACTGCCGCATCACCAGCCATCCCATTAAAGTGAATGGGACTTTTGGTGAATCAACAGTGGGTCAGAGGAGGAGCCACTGTGGGACAAAGATGACAGTTGCTCTTTAAAAATTATGATTTAAATCGAGTTGGTTTAAATCAAGTCTTTTTACTAGTGATTTAAATCATGATTTAAACCGCAATTTAAATCGACTTGATTTAAATCAAATCCACCCTGCTTTCTATTGTTATTTTTTCCTAATAAAGTCAGCAGTAAGACAATGAAAAAATTTACTCCACTTCTGATTATCACTGTGTTGGTGAGATCCAAAGTGGGAACATTGTGACTAAGTTTAACTAAGGATTATTTAAATAAACAACAAGCATATAAGAAACATATTGCTGCTCATTTTTAAAAGTTCAGTTATACAAAGCAAAACAGTTTCTCTGTAAGACTAACTCACTTGTACTAAACCAGGATTTTTAGCCATAGCTTATTGAAAAAGCCATAATTAATGTATAAACCCACATCAAATAGAATTCAGTTTTTGTAAGATGAAAATAAACTTTTAATTTTTTCTACAACATGCAAAGTCAACTTAAAAACTGCTCACAAAATCTGGAAGACCATCCAATGAGTGTCTCTTTCACTCCAGTGAAGGAAGGTGGGAAGGGAGAAATTAATGAATTTCTATCTTACTTCAACAGGAAGCCTATATTGGATCCCACTAACTCTGGCAAAAGAAAGGAACTCTAGCTCAGGGCTTTTCAACCAGTGGTACGGGTACCACCTGTGGTACATTGGCACCTGGCAGGTGGTACACGACCATCCTAGAAAAGTGGTAGCTGGAGAAGGGAATGAGAGCGCCACCGGGTGGGCAGGCAGGTGTCTTGCTCGGCTGTGCCTTGGGGGGCACTTTTTTCACTTCGAACAGTCACTAAGCGAACTGTTGTAAATCGAGGACTACCTGTACTTTATCACTTTTTTCCTATTTTTTTGGTCAAGTTTTTGGCACCTTGCTAGGCGACTGGTGGTACGCGGATACTGCCATATCCTAAAAGTGGTACAATGGGTGAAAAGGTTGAAAAGCCCTGCTCTAGCTTACTGTTGTGAAAATGAAAGGAATTCTTGTATTCATACAACTGAAAGCTGGAGTCAAATATACTAACCTGAGATTCATGAAATATTTAAAAACCCTAGGAAGGTTGTGAAGAGATCTTATCATTTTCATTTATTTTGGTACAATGTCTATTCTTAGCATTATGTAAGTCTGAAATAAGTCTAGAGAAAATCAAGGCAAATTACTCTGTAAGATGGAAGTGACAGAATAGATTTAGTACCAGTAATTTCCTGTCCTTAAGAGATATGCACAAACAATACATCATACTTATATTTTTCAACAGAAAAAGTGGGGGGGGGGTTCTAATATTTACAGTCTACTTTAGACATTTGTTATATATTGTGGTTAGAAAGGAAGTTTAACAAATTAGGACTTATCCTCTTTTGAACATATGACTCATGCGCTTTCTATAGACTCTTCCAAAACTCTTGGAACTATGTCAGTAAGGCAGATATGAGAGATGACAAGCCAATAAGACTAAAGTGACTGTACTATGTTATTTCATCTGCTCCCTGTCAATGACAACAGGATCAGTCACAACTATTCTTATTTTAATAAAAAAGCTTGGCAAACTCTCAACTACATAATAATTAATATCTAATTGGAACAAGTAAGTATCAAGATTTTTTTGATGGGAACATATATGCTAGGTAATAAATAAGAAAGTATATAATCAAAGAAATGAGATAACCTCTTATTAAGTTCAGATAAATTACTGGGTTTTTCTAGTAAAATCTATTTAAAAACCAAGTAAAGAATTTTAAGCAATTGTGGCTTGCTGTGATATGCAGATTTTTAATTATTTGAAAAGGACTCCAAATTTTCAATTTTGGAACATAATTATGCCAAGAAAGAATTGACTGCAAAAACACATTATTTAGATAATGTTCGCTTAGCATATGGGATGCAGTATATGTTTCTGTTGATTACTGATCAGTTTTATATGTGGGAACAAAAATCACATTTCAAATAATTAGCAGTTATGCCGATCCAATATTGGAATCTTTTTATCCAATAGACTTAATACTTGCATAGTTGCTCTTTCCTAAAACAGCTGTTTCTTACTTTGTGAAGCTGTGGTTATAAATAGGAAACAACTGTACTAGTGTTTCACCACTTTTTCATATTGTGTTCTCCAATATATTAGAAAAATATAACACACTTTTTATTATTCCAGGACTGACAGATCTATAATTTGGCCAGGGAAGTACGCATAGATGCAGGGTACACCTTCCATTACTTTTTTGCCACATCCTCATTTCTTGCATACATAGACAAGGAAATAGGTTGTCAACCCTATCAACAATAAATGGCAAAAAAAGGAGCTGATAGTCATTTGTTGTACCTCTATCTCAGAATATCTTGAGCTACTAAACTAAGATTTAAATTAGAACAATGGTGCTACAATATTCTACTGTAACTGAAAAATTTTCCTTGATTAAAAGGGCAGTTTTAGGAAGCTCAAATTTCACAAGAATTAGAACAGAAATGAGTATTTTAATTCATGTGTAGATTGTGACCACAATCTCTTCTAAGATTATCAATCCTACCAGACTTTAATAACATTAATAGTAGTAATAACACTAATAAATATAAAGCAAGGTGTCAGTTTCTAGGATCAACTGTACCTAGAGGAATGGCTTGGGACTCTCAAAGTCTTTTTTTTTTTTAAATAATGCCTGGAATCCAATGATCTGTTTAGAAATCCCCCAACTTTTCAGCCATAAGATAGTCTTTGATAAGGCAACTGTGGCAAGAATTGCTAGATTTCTCTCTGGGTTTTGTTTTCTAATTGGTCAAATTGACACAGGGACATTTTGTGAAAACATTAATAATGTGCTCACTAACCCAAAATATTTGAGACTGTAACACCCTCAATTGAAGGGGGAATATGATTTGATAAACTTTTAGTTTATATTATGTATGGTCAATTTCCTATTTTTAGGTTTGAAAGGATAACTGCATCTTCTGATAAGGCCTGAAATGACTACTTGCCATGAAGTAGTGTAATAAATATAATAAGGAGGATTGCTGACAATAGCATGATTTCAAAATCAGGGGCACTCATGGGCAATTATGAAGTGAATGCATATAAGGAAAAAAGGGGAAAGTTGTTTTAAAAAATAGATAATCATTTTCCTGAATAAAGCAAATTGGGTTCTACTGAGTATTTACTTATTGCAATTACCTATTAACGCTGTGCTTAGCACAAATATTATTTCAACAATGAAAATTCAGATACCACATGTTAGCATCTGATGTGCTAATGTTCTTTATATGAATAGGATTATAACTATTGTAATTCCCAGCTCGCATGCTGTACTAGATGATGACAGCTGTAATCTAAAATACCAGATTGTGTAAGATTCAATTAATCCATGGTTTCTAAAGCTAATATTCAAATCCAAGTTCAAGAAAACTAGCCTATTTTTTAAAAAAAATCACTACTTTTTCTTTTGCCATCAGATGACATGAAAAGCAAAATATGTTACAGCACAAAAGCAGATATAAACTTACAATTACTAGAATTGAAAATGCATATATACAGTAAATAATCTAGTATGACAACTTAAAATGCTTCTGTCAATAAGTTTTATATGTTGCTGAACTGAAAGATGAAACAAAATATAGTTTAAACTTGGCACAGAAATGAAGAGGCCGTTCTACAGATGTTGCACTACCATAGATAAGCTGATCTGACTAGTTCATATAATTAAGCCAGCTTAAGGAACAAAAGGATGATCTTTCTCTGGAGAGCTTAAGTTATGGGGAAACCGTCCTTCAGGTTCCTCAAACCATAACAAAGAAGTAACAGAACATCAAATAGGAACCAGAAGGAAATTCCTATAACTTTGGATATATCTGTAATGGATTACCTAGGTCAATTTTTCTTCTTTTTTTTGACATAGTGGGCATGCAATCAGTCAAATTAATTTGAGCTGTTCTATGATAGGGTGACCCAGTTCACACTTTAATTCAGTGAGTTGAATTAAAGTTTTCTATTGATTCAAGATATAATACAAAAGGTATGGTTGAACATAGAAAACGGATACTTACCTATAATATCGTGACTGCAAATAAGTGGAGCACACAGCCTTTGAGACATGACTAGCAGAGCCAAAGTCTATGACCTTGACCCTATATGGCTGGCGCACAGGATCCACCAACATGATATTTTCAGGCTTTAGGTCAGCATGTATTAGACCTAAGCTTTTCAGTTTCATCAAAGCAGTGGCCACTTGTTGCAATATTGGTCGAATGTATTTCAGAGGCAGAGGGCTAAACTTATTTTGTTTTAAGAAGTCATACAAATTTTGCTCCAGCATCTCAAACACCAGGCATGTGTGGTTTTTGTGTTGAAAACACTCATATGAACGGACAAAGTTATATTCATCAGCATTCTCACTACTCAGTCGAGAGAGGATGCTTACTTCAATTTGACCTTGCCTGGCATAAGAAGGATGATTTTTCAAAATTTTGATAGCAACAATTTCCTTTGTGCTGCGCTTCCAGCATTTTGCCACCTGTCCAAAAGTTCCTCGGCCCAAGAACTCCAAGACTTCATAGCTATTTGTCATAGAACAAAGAATTTCATGCTGGACTAGCTGGTAATCACCTTCGCCACTGGAACTACTGCTTTTGGTTGTTACAGTGGTGGTAGTGGCCGCAGCACCCACCGCAGGTCTGTTTTGCAGCATGAGAGGTGGATGTTCCTCAATTATTTGCACGCTACCGTTGCTGTCAACTTCTTCACTTTTCCTTTTTAAGCCACATTTTTGATATGGTTCCAGTAAAGCAATGTTAGCCCTGTGTGTTAGGGCTTGGCTGTTTTGAAAGGATGTTGTTCCGCCACTGCCTGTACTGTCTGCTGCTGTAACCACAATGTGCTCAACTGAAGGAGCAGGGAGAAGGAGGTTCTGATCATAAGCAGGGATACTGAAGTTTGCTACCTGGTGAGAAGAGCTTGCTGGCCCTTGAGCACCAGAGAGATTTTTGCTGTGACTGTAATACTCGTCACTGTTACTCTGTCCTGAAGCATCCCAGCTAGAGGGCTCCACTTTCAGTTTCTTGGCACTGCAAAAGGCACTCGAAGATACTGATGGAGGTGAAAACACCTGCAGCTGTGAGGCCATACCTAGAGGAAACAAAGAACTAGACGTCACATTGGCAGAAATAGAAATCACATATCTTTTACCACTGAATAAGAATAGCCAACTCATCACTCATTTCCCCCAAATTTGCTATTAGCAATTATAATTATATTCAATTTCTCTAGATATATATCCTACAAAACCTGATTAGAAGTAATAGCAGGAAAAGAAGCTATAGTTATTATTCTGGAATCATTCCAACAGAGCAATTAGTTGCAACAGATAGCTCTATGCAGAGGGGGAAATCCAGCTGAATTGGAATATTCATTCACCTGCTTCGGAAGGTTAGAAAAGTCCAAGTCAATGTTACAGTGGTACAGTGGAGGAAGATGATCTAACTCTAACCATAATTTTACTATAACTACACACAAAATTCTACTTTTCACATAATTAAAGCTGTGCGTATGTGGTTTGTGTGTGTGTGTGTGTATTTGTGTCTTCAAGTCTTGCAGCGAGATAGGAGGCAAACAAATTTAATAAATAGACAGATAAAGTCAATCTTGATTCCTGATGATTACATGGACAAATCCACACAGCTTTCTTGGCAATATTTTCTGAAGGGGTTTGCCATTGCTTTCTTTCTACTTGCTGAGACAATCACCCAGATGAATTTGTGCCTAGAGCAGAACTAGAACTCACTTTCTATTTTCTAGCCAGATGTTTTAAACACTACACCAAATAAGCTCTTAATCAAAGCTTATCTTGGTTATATTAACTAAATAACCAGCCTGCTGCTTGCACAAGCTGAGCTGTGCAC